TTTCTCATACAGTTAGGTACTAAAGCCTCTCGTGTGTGAAGCCAAGTAAACATTTTTCTCTCATTGGTCTCAAAGATTCAGAGACATAAACATGTCTCACAGTGAGCTCTGAGTGAGATCTCTGAGGTGTCTACTTCCAAGATCTGAGCTAAAAGAAAACTGAGACCACATCGAGCTCTCACACTTGTCTTAAATTTAAAGGGCCCATATTATCCAAAATCCTCTTCACCATGTTTTTCTAACACTAATGTGTCTCTAGTCTGTCTACAAACCCCCAATGATGAGAAAAGTCCATCCTCTCCGGCCGTTTAGAGATTTTCCCTTCATGACATCACAAAGGGCAGTAACCCCTCCCCCAGGTGGGTGACACTCCCACAGCTAGGTGTTTGTTCTGCCCTCTGAGTCTGCCTTCTCACCGTAAACAATAGAACATGAAGCGAGAAAGACAGAGACACCCAAGTCCTTCCAGAGAGGGGCGTGGTCAGACACAGCTCATTTACATTTAAAGGTACAGACACAGAAACAGCCTGTTCTGAGCAGGGCTGAAATAGAGGGGTTTATAGGCATGATCAAATACAGGATCAGAGTGGATTTAGAACAAGAAACTTCACACACATGTTTTTAGAGCTCTGAGACTTATTTACACTGGTTAAAGAGGAGGAGGATATGTGACCTTTAAAATATTATTATGGTCATTTTTGCCTTTATTAGAAAGGTCAGCTGAAGAGAGACAGGAAGTGTTGGGAGGAGAGAGTTGAGGGAAGACATACAGCAAAGAGCTAAGGTTGGATTAGAACCAACGGCCACTGCGTCGATGACTGCAGCCTCTGGTCATGGGGCAAAAGGCAAAATAACCTTCAATGACCTACAACACAGATTTTGTGCAAAAGGTCAAAACACACGGAAAAGGCTGCGTTTTCAAAAAGACATGCCTACATGTGGACCAGGCCTAACTTGGAAACAAACACAAGACCGTCATCGGGCAAACCGTTTTGTTTTGTTTGCCTGATGAAGGTTCAGAACCGAAACTTTTAGTTTGCATGTGAGACAGTCTGCAGGAGTTTACCTTGAAGTCTTTGATGGACATGTTGCTCACCTGTCTTATGAAACCAATGTGCCGACAATCCTTCAACATCAACGAGCAGGATGCAGCACCTCATATTTCACACCATGTCGTTTGGATTTTCCTCCGCATAAAAAAAAGTGTAGAGCACACAAGATTTTATTTCAAAATAATTTATTTGCATATAATTGGAATGAAGATAGGTTGATACATCTGATGGCACTGCTCAGTTTCCATAGAAACAGTCAGTCTATACAGAAAGCACTGGTTCAAACCTGGACAAAATGGATAAATATATTAGTAAATAAATATATTAGTGACACGTCACTATATTGAAATGTTCTATTATATATAAAATACAACACTATTTCATTTTCTGTCTCTTTTGTTGTTCTCTTTTTGTACACAAAGTATCCAAAATATATACTGACTCCTCCCTCCAAGCTCTGGAGGGATTTCTTATTAACTCATAGAAAGAAAAAAAAAGGCAGTTTCAGCTCGTGATTGTTGCAGAACAAAACAAAGACAAAGACAACAACACAAAGAGAAGGAAGACATCACATCAGAGACCTCGGCGCCACTGGACGCCGCTCTGCGTGTGCTGATGGGTTTTTTACGGGCTCGTTTGAAATGAATACTATAAGCTTTCCGTTTGTTTTTCTGTAAATACAATCTGCTGAAGCCAAAGTGCTGCTTGTAATTCAGTCATTTCCATCCTAGGTCTCTCTGAATATAATCGGGCACAGAGAAGGACAGCAGAGGGAACCCTGGGAGGCGGGCGGCGGGACGCTGCGTTGACACATTCATAGTGAGGTATTCGTACGAGGGACTGCGGGTGAACATCTCTGCGTGATTGTTCAGAAAGTCCGAAAATGATTTTCCACTTAGATACAGGCACGTCACTGCGAGCACGTTTTATTCTGAGATTTAAGGAAAAGGTCGAAACGAGACAGAAGACACGATGTTGGTTAAGTTCACTTAGTTCAAGATTTTGGCCTCTTTGGTTCGATGGTAAGAGCTTTGTGTGTTGGGAGGTTTCTCATTCAGGATTATCTTCAGCTTGGATGAATAAGGCACGTGAGGCTTTAATAAGTGCTGATCATAAAATTGCATTACCCATAAAAAACTCTTTCATTGTTGTGACGAGTTAAACTCTATCTGATGTCTCACTGCTTTCACATTTAGACTTTTAAAGGTCCAGTCAGTGAGATGTGTAGTGAGTGAAATGATAAAGTGACCTTACTATATGATCAGACATTAAGGAAACATGCTATGTTGAAGTGCTGGCTTCTCTGACAATGTAGCAGCCAGTATGTCCTCCTTCTAACTTTAGATTCTGGTCCTGAATGCTCTGGATTTGTTTGGACCAGAGAAGGTAGGCGGCTCTAAGGCTCCCCCCCCCTCGGTTTGACAGATATGAGAGCAGTTATCAGGTCAAACCAACAGGTGTTGCAGCGATGGAAGCGGGCAAGAGAAGTGGTTCAGATAGAAGTGATTGTACCCGACCTAAAAAGCCTCTGCATGTTTCTAATAAGCTCCACGAGCAGAAACGTGCTCAAACTAGGATCAATATTGGAGATGATTTTGAAAAATGGAGAGAGGTTAGAACACAGAAAGGTTTACAGACCGATGCAGAGCTGGATAAACACTGAAGCTTCAGTGTTCACCACATGGCAACCTGTGTGAGCATCGACTCTAGAGAGGAGGGGGTGAGGGGAGACAGCTCTCTATAATGTTTAGAATTTTGACTGCAGTACCCATTTTAAACACTAGGTGTCAGAGTTATATATTGCTCCTTTAAATAAAGTTTTTCTGTTTGTAATCTGTGGGTGTATTTATTATCAAAGTTTATTTATCCACAAAGTTTAGGGGAATATAAACATGTTTTTCTTTCTAATCTGAGATCATAAAAGTTGGAAACACAGTTTTAAATCGAGATTCTTCTGTTCACAGATTTTTTTCAGGTGGAGGACGTTTTAGTACGTATATATCTGGATGTAAAAATACTGAATTTGACTTCTTAGTATTCTTTAAGTGGACTTTCCTTCAGGTGCTGAAGGCTAAAAGCAGGGACAGGTAATGCATATTAAATACAACCCAGAATCTCAACACTTTAACTGTGATTGATTTCATCTTTGCCGTTTTCCAGTGTTTGTGATTGTACCTGAGATTTGTCTCAGGTGTGTTTGTGGAAACAGACTCAAAGCTAGCTAACATGGCTTTGATCCAGTCGTTCTAGAGTTTATAGTATTTTATACTATATGTTGATTTCTGCACTGTAGAGCATTCTTGTAGAGCTGGAGGTGCTGGAGGGCAGCGAGCACGGACTGAGTATCCTCTAAAGGAGGATCATAGGACGTAGTGATGGATCACAGGGTGAGGCCGCTTCACTGATCAGGACGCGCCAACATGTGAAGAAAACGACAAGAGCGATACAATAGCTTGTAATGATGACCACATAATTCAGTCAAACTGGTTCATTGAAGAAAAGTGACTAAAAATAAAACAACAGAAACGCAGGAGATGATCCTGAACACAAACACACACACATGTTGAAAACAGCTGCCATTCTTGAAATAATGAATACAAGGCCCATGCAAGACTCAGCAGCTGGACAAGGGGCCGAGCTTGAACCTCTCTCTCTCTCTCTCTCTCTTCTCTCCTTGTGGACAGCTTGAACTGTGTTTGGGGAGTTTATGGGAGCTACATTGTTGTGGCAAAAACAAGAAAATAAAAATAAGTCACTACAGCAGTACCTTTAAAGCCTCCGTGTGTGAGGCACGTTAAGAAATCTGAGCTGAGGTAGGCTGGATAGAAGATCAAATGAAGCTTTAAGTACCTCGGAGATAAATCAAGTTATTGTGTGATGGGGGGAGGGGGGTGGGGGCTATGCAAAGATGGTGTCTCACTTCATGTGGGCTCAGCACCCAAACTCAAGACCATGCATGAGGTGTCACAGAGGAGCGGGGAGCTTCTAATCATGTTGTTGCTTTCACTGATTATTGGAAAAACACGACGTCCCCTTTGTGGCGTTTGAGTCATTTCCACTCCCGGACATTTCAACCGATCAGTATTTTATGTTACTGTGTGTTATGGAGGGCTCAGCGTTTCCCCGACATTTCCCCCTGATATGATCATAATTGTTTTGATGGTGAAGGATGAACTCAACCAAGCTCAACTCGAAGGACCTTCCAGCGTGTGAGTGCGACTCCTGCGGGATGCTGGGAAATCTTTCTGACAGAAAGTCGTGGAAGACATGAGAGCGATCGGCCATTGAGAGGCTTGTCCATTCTGGCTCCTGTAGCAGCGTGATGATGGGGATGAAATTAAAAAAACACGTTTTCACACACCAGACTCCTCCTCTGATCCTGCGGACACAAAAACAGCTCAAGTTATCTTCAAAATAAAACAAAGAGCATGTGCAATCATTTCATTTCTTCTCCTGGATGGGTGTGAGAAAATACGGAAAACTTCACATAAAAGCACATCTCGATTTTAAGGCCCAGTCGCTTTTACTCGTCTGGTGGTAAACATATGCTAAACTATCGGCTTTTTCATTACAACACGTGTCATTTTCTCAGGTAGCTTGCAGTTTAGGTACAAACAGTAAAAGTATAAACGTGCACGCTAAGCCTGCAGAGAGCGTGCTCGGTTTGTTTGAATGTTGTGTTTACAAGACGCATGAAAACTACTACTGACTCTACCTTCAAGTTTACATTTTCTCTGTCTTCATGTTGTTGAGAATAAACTGTTTGCTTCCCCAATGAATGACTGTGACCTACGAGCACAAAAACACGGCTATAAATAAGACCAACGGGCCGAGAAACACAAGCTGTCATGAAAACAAAGACCAAGGAAGAACAAACGTTTTCAGGGAGACGGCAAATAAATCGTTCAAGGACCAAATACTGGTTCAAATTTGTGGTGACATTCAGGTGATCTGTGGGGAAATCTGGCTAAACTGTAAATTTGTTTCCCTGTCAGACCACCTGAGCGTCCTCTGTCCAATCAGACGACCCCATACAAGTACAATCAGAATCTTTCAGAAGTAAAACAATAAGCCAAAGGAGACGTCATGTTTCTAGAGACAGACGAGTGAGACACCCACCCTGATTGTGGTGTAAGGTTTGGCAGTACAAACAAATGTCTGTGTTGCGTTCACTAGCAGGACTGTGGTGAAACCTGCAGGGGGGTCTGTCCATAGAGGGCCCCGGCCCCAGGAGCTGAGGCTCAGAACGAGCCTGCTGCACCCGCTTTTGCCACACAACGTGGGCCCCAGCACAGCAAGGCCAGTCCTCCATACCTCCAGAGTCCAGTATGAGGGGCACAGGGAGCAGGACGGGGGGTAGCTCAGGAGGGGGGCAGCAGAAACCAGGACCCTGACCATAGTGGATGTGGATGCTACGGTCATCCTGAAGGTCCAGACTCTGGTGGTAGCGGACAGAGGGGCCGTCCAACACACAGCCCCCTACCCGCCCCAGAGGAGCAGGAGGGTGTGCGTGTCCCTGGTGGCAGCAGTGGGGCTGAAGCTGCAAGGGGATGGGGGACATGAGGACAGGAGGTCCTGAGGGGCTGCTGGGGTCATGGTCCTGACAGTCTGTCCCAGGACTGGGCCTGTCTGTGGGGTCTGGCTTTGGGCACTGGCAGGGACTGTGCTTAGGAGGGCCCACAGGTGAGTCTTTGTCCAGGACCGGAGCAGCAGGAGCAGGAGGAGCAGCGGTGGCGGCGGCGGCGACGGCTCCCTGCTCCTCGTCTGAGCCCCTGCCCGTGCCCTGGCTGTGCTCCCCCTCCTCGTAGTGGTGGTGTCTGTGGCGGTGGTAGTGGATGTGGCTGAACACAGTTTGTGGCTGCTCCTCGGGGCATCCAGCTTTGTTCACCACAGAATCCAGAGACCTGGGCCGGGCCTGGGCACAGGCCTCCAAGCTGTTCCTGCGGGGGGCTCGCCCAGGACCGGGCCCGTAATACACAAATGGATCGTAGTCACTGCTCAGAGAGCTACGGAAGGTGGACCAGCTGCCGTAAACCCCCTGCAGGGATACGTCAGTACAGTTCAGAACCGAGTCACTGGAGGAGCCGTGACAGGGTCCTGAGCTTGAGTCACTTGCTGGTCCGTCAGCTAAGTACCCGCTGCGCTCGGTGTGGTAGCTCCCCCCTGAGCAGCTGCCCTCGTCCGGCCGGCTGTGGGGAGGAGCCCCACGTGGTTGCGGGGTGGCGGAGGCTGAGTTCGGCAGTCTTGAGCTGGACGCACAGCGCTGAGCTGGACATGAGGAGCGATAGTTGCGGCAGGTACGCCGGGGGGTGTAGTGGAGGGAGGAAGTCCTGCAGTTAGCTCCGATCCTGTAGGGCCTCCCAGGACCCTCTGCAGGGAGGTGGTACCCACAGCTGGAGCCGAGCGGCCGGCTGGGGAGGAAACGGACAGTCTGTGTGTCTCTGGGAGAAGAGCTGGTGTAGCCGGCCAGAGAGGGGTAGGGTCCAGAGGGTCCTCGAGGGTAAAGCGGCCTCAAAGAGAAGGGGATGGCGTGCTGGGGAAAGGGGTGGTTGCGGGGGCTGCTGTAGGTTGGAGCGTGCAGAAAACTCTGGCGGTGCTCTGGACTCTGCTGGAGTCTGCTCCTCTGCTGCTGCCGCTCCGTCCCTGCAAGACCAAAGAAGAAGAAGTCAGAAGATTCAACACAACACTGAAGATGTGTAAAACTTCAATTTCATGGAAGAGCATCAAAGAAAGAAATAATCGGAAACACTGAAAATGCTCTTTAATAACACCTGTTGGTAGGATGAGGGTGAAGTAGAAGAACATAGAAAAGTCTGATTATAAAGCATTAGATCCAAACTTAACTGTAAACATGCTTCTCCTCACCCATGATGTTGTGCATGCAGAGGGGACAGGTGCGGTGCTGCAGCAGCCAGGGGTCCACGCAGTCTTTGTGGAACTCGTGAGCACAGGAGATGATCCTCAAATGCTGTGAGGAGAATCAGAAACAGGTAGATGTGAGGAGGATTATATGATAAGCAGAGTTCACTAAGCATGGTGCAGTGTGTTCCTCTCTCTCCTCCTACCTGGCCGTCCTGGAACTCTTCCAGGCAGATCGCACAGACGGGGCTGGAGTTGGAGCTGCTGGCCGAGCCCCCGGCCGCGTGGTGGCGCTGAGAGCTGGAGCAGCCTTGAGAGTTGTAGGTTTTGGTCTCCAAGCGACTAATGGCCCTCATGGTCTGCTGATGGACAGAGTCCTGCACGCATCAGAAACAAAGGTTAGAGTAACAAACGGCTGCTAATAGCTCCAGAGATTGAGCATCATTTTCTCCCGCTCTCTGCACTGTCACTGTCACTGTACTCTCTGAATGGAGCAAAAACAACAAAAACAAACTCACATCCTCAACTGACAGTCTCGACTGATTAAAGTCCTGGTTATATTATTAAAAGTCATATTTACAGGCTTTAACAGATCATTCATTTTGTGTTTAATTGATGAAGAGAGAGAGAAAGAGAGATATTGACTCAATGGCGTTCGATAACACCACTGTGCCTGTGGCAATCAGCGCTGGTCTTGAGAATTAGATATTTAAATCGAGGCATATTTGCAGGAAGGGGGGAATTTTGCACTGAATTTTTGAATTTCTCAAATTTAACTTCATGTAAACATTGTCAGCTTTACAGTTTTCATGCATTTCACCCTTTGCACATGCTCTGTGGACTGCACGCTATCTTTTTCTCTCCTTCACACTGGCTCGGCGGCCGCACGAGCAGCGTGAGTCAGTGCTCTGAGTTGTTGGGACTCACCCAGGTTCTGTTGGACTTGCACTTGTAGCGGAAAGCGAAGATCAGCACGATGGTCAGGATAGCAAGGACGATGGTGAGCAGGATACCCACATCATAATGTGGCTGAAAGAGAAGATGATACAAAAAAGAGCAAAGATTGAAAATGATTTGACCCAGAAAAAAAGATTCAAAAACAGACTGAAACGGGCAGTTGGCGGTCGGCATTTTGCTCAAGGGAACTTCAGCAGAGCTCAGAATGCGACCCGGCACCTCTCCAGCTACCGGACCAACTTCCATACTTTGGTACGCACCGGGACTAAAACCGGTGATCTCTGGATCTGAATCCAAGTCGCTACAGACTCAGCTACTTTGAAATCTTAAGTTAAAGTAAGATCTATAATAAGAAAGGAAAGTTTCCAAGAGGATCTAAATCAGGTGGATTCTCATGTTATAATATAAAACCGTGCAGCTGAGGGTTAGTCAGAGCTAGCTGGATGTGAGCGATCAGTGTTCATTAAATCAAACATTCTCAGACTATAATTAAACAACAAATCAAAGGGATGAACATTCAAACACAAAACAGAGAAGTTCTGTTCAGGACGACCAAAGACAAGCTAATGTTAGCTTAGCTTGATTTTAGGATCTTTCAGTGAACTGATTCAGGCCTCACAACAATGAGAGTAATTCATTTAAGTTGAAGAGGTTTTTAAGTTTGGTCAGTTTCCTACTCATTTATTTCTCCTCCATACGAGGTTTCATAAGTTTTTTTTTGCAGGGATGCATGAAGCCGACGAGAGGGGAACAAGTCCTGTAAACACCGGGTGGTCTATTTGCATCTAAGAATCCAGTCCACATGGATCCATCGTGATGTATTTGTAACTGCACACAAGCTTTCACATGACTGTGTCCTGCTGTTTCACAGAGGGGGTCCTTCCTCTTCTTCTTCCTGCCAAATACAGGACGGGTTTAAAAAAGAATTAACTGTGTTTCAGTGCTCACCCATCTCAACGGCTCCACCAGGATCTCGATGCGAACTTTGGCCTCCTCGTTCTTGTTGACCAATCCCATCAGCACCTCGGCATCCTCGGCCTCCACCAGCACGACCGGACGAGGGAGAGAATCTGTTTCTCGCAGCTGACAAAGACGCAGCAGTGTGAGTGGAGTGCTTATTTCACCTTCGACCGTTTATCATCTGTCGGCTCGAAACTCACCTCGGCAGCAGCGTTGGCATCATCACTGACGTCAAAGATCACAGCCTGAGCGCCTTTATCCAGAGCCATGCGAGCCTGGAAGAGACAACAGAAGAGAGGGCAGTCAGGGACCACACACACACACACACACACACACACACGTGACGGCACTTTAAAGGAAACTTCATCAGTGGAGAGTTGACTTCTGAAGACCATAGCAGTCCACTCAGTCTCTAAACCCACCACTAGGTGGCAGTCATACACTGAGGCTCCTCTGTTCCACCTGACTCCGCGCTCTCACTTCAGAGCTGCTGCTGCTGCTGCCTGATCCGAACATTTCTCTCACGTTTGAGGCAAGACCGAGACACAGAAAGATCTTTTTTTGAGTCTAAACTGAAGGAAAAATAATGAGTGGGACCTCACCTGGATATCAGACATTTTCTTTTGGCCCATGTCAAAGTGTGACACATGCAGACTTCAAGCTTTCAAACCATAAAGCTTGATTTGTAAAGCACCTTTCATACGACTCAAATGAAATGCAAAGTGCTTTTGGAGGGATTGGAAACAAGAAGAAGCATCAAATAATGAGAGAACAAAAACAGAAACAAAGAGAGACAACAGGAACACTTCTGGGATTCCTCAAAGCATTTCAAAAAATAAAAGTGGAGGAAAACTTAAAGAACATCGGTATAAATGATCCAGGCACTCAGGACAGTTTGAAAAGTATTAAATGCCTTTAATTCATCAGGCTCAAATTATTTAAAGATACACCAACGTGTATCGGCGTGCAGCTTCTTCAGGGTTCAAACAAAGTGGAGACTAATGGTCACATATATCAGTTCAATATAAATCATTACAACAATTACAAGTTACCTAGCGGTTATGTCACAAGCCCCATGTACAGTACAGTCGTGGGTTTGAATCCGACCTCTGCCCTTTGCTGCATGTCGACCCCCCCACTCTCTCTCCTCCCAACACTTCCTGTCTCTCTTCACCTGTCCTGTCCCATAAAGGCAAAAAGGTCAGAATTTTTTTTTTTTTTGGTCTGATTGCTTTGAGTTAATTTTTTGATTACTGAGTGCAGGTTCATCACACAGTTTCACCGTCTGGTTTCATTTCTCTCTTCTTAAGATTCTGATTGTGACCCCGGTTGGTTTTTACACACACTTCGTGAACAATGTGGTTCAAAGACTCTCACTTTGTTCTTTTATCAAAAATGTCTCCCCTCCAAAGAACAAACTGCACAAAAAAAAAGGAAAACAAAAACAATCTCACGTTTGAAATACAGTATTTGTATTTAATTTATTTGTTATGGGCGCTGATGGCCCAGTGGTTAGGTAGCGCCCGATGTGCGCGGGCTGTGGTCCTCCGAGCGGGCGGCATGAGTTCAGATCTCTCTCTCCTGGTTTCCTGTTCCGTCCACTGTCCTGTCTCTACAATGCCAAAATCAGTCGTCCTCGCCTCCAGCGTCCTCGCCATTTCATCTGCCTGCAGTAATATTATTTAATATAATACGGACTGAATCAGCTGAAGTCATACTGCGCTGTGATTGGACGATGTGTTCATGTGCTCCTCTCCTGCTTGCTGACCTGACGCTGACTTGATCTGTGTTTTTTGTTTGTTTTCGACGTGCTCTTTAAAGCAGAAATACTTTCTTGGGCATCAGCAGAGAACCTATCACTCTCTTTCCATCAACATCTCATCATCTGCGCTGAAGCATCCGGCGTCTGCAAACACTTAATGAGGAGGAGACACGAGTTTAAACACCTAATCACCAGGGTCAAACTCCACGCCAAACACAGATTTCTAACCTTCAGGGCAGGGCAGGAACGCACAAGCACATGTGAACACACATCAGAAGTGTGTGCGTAAAGACATTCAGGTGAAGGCATCACTCAGCTGATCCATTAATCAAGTTAATGAAAAACGTCTTGTGTCAGGTGACGGCGTTGATCCTCTCTGACACGTTAAGAGGAGAGAGAGCCAGAGCATGACATGTCCTTTGTATTCACCACAAGTCAGAAGTCCCTCACTCTCAGATCACAGGTTCAGAGCTCTGGATACACTGATACACAAACGACTGCTACGGCTAACGGAGCGGCCGTCAAATCCAGTACACGGTGGATTCATTGTGGATAAGGTGGAGACTAACCAGATCTGCAAGAATGACAGGAGGGGACGAGGACTCTGTCAAAGGAGACGTTGTGCTTATTATTGATGATCCCGCCCCAAGAACCTCAAGTCACACCGACCTCCATTCACAGAGTCTAGGGGGCCTGTAAGGCAAGTCCAAGTTCAGACCAAGACCAGCACCCTATGCAGGCCCAACACCAAAACCCGCCCTACTGCAGAGGCTCCAATTGGAGTCTGAACACACAAACACACACATGCACGCACGCCAGTAACACGCCAGACGCATGCACACTTCTGTGGGTCTTAGAAAATTAATGGTAAATGGACTTGAGCTTATGATCACACTTTTCTAGTCTCTAGCTTTTTCACCGCAGGTCACACCTCCACATTCACACACTGATGGTAGAGGCTGCTGAGTAAAGAGTCCATCAGTATTAACTCATCCATTCACACGCCGCCATCGAAGCAGAGGGAGCAACTTGGGGTTAAGTGCCTTGCCCAAGGACTCATCGGACAAGTGGCTGCAGGAGCTGGGGATCGAACCCCTGAACTTCCTGTTGAGAGACGACCGACTCTACCAACTGACCCACAGAAAATGAGAGTAGTAGAAGTGTTTAATTGGTCGCTTGGGTGCGCCAAAAAACGAATGTATATCCTGTAGAACCACCGGGAAAGAGGACAGGGTCGCTGTGTTTGATCATGCCCAGTTAATAGTTGGAAACATTGTCCCACAGAAAAGCCGCTGGTAAACAAAGACGGCCATCGTTTGTTTCTCTGGTCAGAAAGAGGTCAAATAAAACATTTACATATCCCCTCCTTTGATCCGACTTCCCGCTCTGGTAGCTGCAGCCTTCCCCCTGCTCCTCAGAGCAGTAATTGTAGTACATGCATGGGCCTAAATGGGGTGCGGTCACACAGAACGAAGAAAAAATAAAAGGCTGGATCTTTGACATGTGGGAATTTGCTTTACCTGGGGTTCAAAAAAAGTTCCCTACCCAGCAGCCCTGAGCCTGTACGTCCTCTAATCGAGGGGATAAATGCAGGGAGGCCTGATTCTGCGGTCCAGCTCACACACGCACAAAGACACGCTGAAGCCGTGTGGAGATTCAAAGAGTTGTCTTCAGTTCAAGAATATGTTCTGATATATTCCTCCACTGGTGCTGCTGTGGTCTTATTATCCCTCAGTATTAGTAGTAGAAATACCACAGAGCGGTCGCCAAACCCTACACCTCAACTGAGCCTGCTGAGTCTCATGATATGATTAATGGGAGATATTTTTAAGCTTTAATGATGCTATGAAAAGCACTGATGCTAACATGACAGCCTCCACATCTCCGTGTTTTGTTCTGGTCGGATGTGAATCAGACATCATGGCTGTGGTTTTGAAAACAGCCATCCTCATGCTGTGCAGCCTAACACATGATTAAACATGATTTGGCATTTGGGGAAAAACAACGGCAGCGTCGGAGATGACTGTGGTTCTACATCAGAGACGTCATCAGTGAAAGACTAACAAACAACACACATACCACAACAGGCTGCTTCTACTTTTAACACTGACGGGGCTGTGACAGAGGGCGTAGGAAAATACGGGACATGTTCCAACTGACGGAGTTTCAGACAAGGCTGCTGAGGAGGAGCGGCAGGAGGCTGTCGCACACATGAACACACCTGAGAGCGTTACAGTTACATCATCACGTCATTAGGGGACATAAGAGGTGACTCTTAAAGGGCCCATATTATGTTAAATCCACTTCTCCGTGTTCCTCTAACACTAATATGTGTCTCTAGTCTGTCTACAAACCCCCCAATGATGAGAAAAGTCCATCCTCTCCGTCTTTTGCCTGCTCCACTTTACAGAAAATGTGTGCTCAAACAGGCCGTTTGGAGATTTTCCCTTCATGACATCACAAAGGGCAGTAACCCCTCCCCCAGGTGGGTGACACTGCCACAGGTGTTTGTTCTGCCGTCTGAGTCTGCCTTCTCACCGTAAACAATAGGGCATGGAGCGAGAGAGCCCGAGCCACCCAAGCCCTTCCAGAGAGGGGGCGTGGTCAGACACAGCTCATTTACATTTAAAGGTACAGACACAGAAACAGCCTGTTCTGAGAGGGCTGAAATAGAGGGGTTTATAGACATGATCAAATACAGGATCAGAGTGGATTTAGAACAAGAAACTTCACACACATGTTTTGGGGAGCTCTGAGACTTATTTAAACTGGTTGAAGAGGAGGAGGATATGTGACCTTTAAATTCACATTAAGCTCAATTTAAATATAGTAGCCCGTAGAAAAAGATGATTACCTAGTCTTATATTGAACTCGTTTTCAAGACTTGCACATGTGGCGTCAGTAACATTAACAACAGCTATGTTCTATTTAAGTGAGAGTGAGCCAGCATCATGACACTGAAGCAGCTTAATGAGGTTCAGATGTCATTCCTTTTATTTGTCCCACTTGTTTATTTTTACTCAGTCAAATTAAAATGTCCTTTTAGATGTTACTATGTGTGGAATTTAAAAACTTCTGGCTGTATTTTTAGACCAGAGTATATTGTTCTGATAAACTCCAGTGCTGGGAGAAGAGAGTCTATGGAAGAGGTTTCACCAGCTCACGTAGAGGCTTGAAGCCGTCTGGTGAAACTCTTGGATATTGGGGAACTCCGATAAGAAACTCCAACGATACGTTTACCTCTTGATCTGAAACTTTGCCCACATTTAGTTTTGGAATTTGGAATACTTATATAGCGTTATTTTAGTCTTCTGACCACTTGAGGCACAAACACTGATACATGTACAGTGCCACATTTGCACACTGCTGCTGGCTATATCAGCGCAGTTCTGGAGGAGCTGGGATCGAACCACCAGTCTTACAACCGAGAAGTCCAAATCTACCACTGAGCCACAGCCACCAACCGACTTTTGATAAGACAGTTCAAAAAAAAGGACACCAAATGTATTTCTA